AGGGAGCTCTCGATAGGCAGGTTGACCTAAGCCTAAGGAGGGTGGTACAAGTGATGGCGAGGCGGAGGAGCAAACGGCGTCGCCGCGCTTCGTTGCTCCTCACCCTGTTTTTTCTCGCTCAAACGTCGAGCATTGAGCCAAGGTGCGGGCACGGAAGCAAAATATAAAGAAGGGCTGGGTTGGTATTGCCACTCTCCCCGCGCATCCGAAAACGAGAGGTTGCTGCACAGAGCAGGGGGCAAGCATTTAGTGAACGCCTCACGCTCTTAGCCTGCTGTGTTGCTACTGGGTCGGATTCTGCACAACGCCAAGGGCACCACTTGGGGATGACAAGGGGGGCCTGCCGCGTGATGCAACACAGTCGAAGCAGATACCTGTAGACAAGCGCGACCAGTGTCAAAACTGCGTCCACTACTTTGGAACCAACCTGCCCCCACGCAAGCTGTGGCAAGCTAGCACGTCCTGCGAACGTGTTCGAACCGTACTCAGCGCGTTCTGGAGAGGTCTCCCCGGAACGCGCTGGGAACAAAAACCGGCGGGGCGAATACCACTGGGGATTTTGGCCTGACGTTGCCTCTGGACCACCATGTGGAAGGCGACTATACTATGCCTCACGCACCGAACGTCACAAAATCAAGAAGTCTACGTGGCAACCTAAACGGTCGCCGGCGACCGAAAAGCGGGAATCGTTTTCTGGTCACCTGGGCCCCTTGGCCTGGGAAGCACATGCTCTGATCACACATGCTGCTGATGCTTATGCTACGCTCCCTGATGCACGCGGTTGGAGGGCCCCCCCTACACACGGGAGGGGAGGGGGGAGGGGAGGGCATGGGAGGATGGCAGGGGAGGGGAGGGGAGGGGAGAGGAGGGGAGAGGAGAGGAGAGGAGGCGGCACCCCGCCAGGAAGGCCACGAGCAGGGCCCCTGGCGGGAACAGTGCGAGGAGCTGGGCGTTGCTTCATGGGGGGCGATGAACCCAGACATCTGCGCGACGATCAAAAACGGGTCTTACGCGAGATGACATAGCGACCTTACGCGGTGGCTTCCGCGGGCCGCCCGCGCGGCACGCCACACTTGAAGCGGGGGCTCTTTCGCACGACCTCACGCGGCCAGCTTACGCTCCGATGTCGGCGCGGACGACCCCGTAGTTTTTCCGTCGCCCATCTGGCGTCTCGAGGAAATCGAGACGACGTGTTTCACAGCGTTCAGCCTCTCAGGGCCCTTACCGGGCCTCGGGACCATCAGAAAACGGCGCGGGACGAAAGAGCGGCCCCGGGGAAGTGGTCAAGAGGTCGTGGGCCTCCAACCTTCGGCGGCGAGCCCTGCGGGGGAAGTGAGAAGGGGCGGACCTTCTCAGAAGGCTCGGAAGTCCCCCAGCCTTCTGAACAGTTTCCTCAGCCTTCCGCGAAGACGCAGAAAACTTCTCCTCAGAAGGCCGGAGGGCTTCTGAGAAGCCCCGCCGCATTCTCAGTTCCCCCCCTCGCCCGCCGTCGATTAAGCCCAAACCTCCACCCTCTCGAGAAGCTCGAGACGTAGGTGTGTCGTATAATGTTCGGCCTCTGGGGGCCCTCGCCGGGCCCCGGGACCGTCAAAGCGATTCAGGGCGCAAGACCGGCCCCGGGGAAGAGGCCCCTGGCGGGCACAATGCCAGGGACGGGATCGAAGAATCCGGACCCCCTCGAGTCATCAAACATTAGCCTGGCGAGAGACCCAACCATATGCAGCTGTGCGCACCGCAGTCGTGAGTATCATCTTCGGTTGAGCTCCCTATAGGGCCACGAGACGTGTGAGGCGTGTGCCCAAAGTGGTGTGGCGGACGCATGTGGACGGTGCCAGTGGAGCTCCGTATGGGGCCGCGAAGCGTGTGAGGGGTGTGCCGACGTGGGTGTGGCGGACGCATGTGGACGGTGGCACTGGGGCCTTCGGTGGAGCTCCCTGTGGGGCCACGAAACATGTGAGGGGTGTGCCGACATGGGTGAGGCGGACGCATGTGGACGGTGCCTCTGGGGCCTTGGGTGGAGTTCCCTATGAGGACACGGAATATGTGAGGGGTGTGCCGAAATGGGTGTGGCGGACGCATGTGGACGGTGGCACTGGGGCCTTCGGTGGAGCTCCCTATGCGGCCGCGAAACGTGTGAGGGGTCTGCCGACATGGGTCAGGCGGACGCATGTGGACGGTGGCACTGGGGCCTTCGGTGGAGCTCCCGGGGCCACGAGACGTGTGAGGGGTGTGCCGACATGGGTGTGGCGGGCGCATGTGGACAGTGCCACTGGGGCTTTGGGTGGAGCCCCCTATGCGGCCACGAAACGTGTGAGGGGTGCGCCGACATGGGTGTGACGGACGCATGTGGACGGTGCCACTGGGGCCTTCGGTGGAGCTCCCTATGGGGCCACGAAACGTGTGAGGAGGAGGAGGAGGAGAATGAGGAGGAGGGGGGAGAAGGAAGGGGAGGAGGAGGAGGAGGAGGAGGAGGAGGAGGAGGAGGAGGAGGAGGAGGAGGAGGAGAGGAGGAACGCGGGGACCGTCCTTTCAAAACGAAGACCCAACACCACAGGATGGTTGGGAAAAATCGCGACGATCATTTTGTTCGCTGTTTTCGGCCTCCGGGGGCCTTCGCCAGTCCTCGGGACCGTCAAAAAACGACTCGTGATGAAACACGGGTTCCAGGGAACGGGTCGAGACGGGTCTGGGAACGGGGAGCGGGCGAAGAAACTTCCATCTTTCGCACCCCTTTTGGGCCCCAGGGGGCCCCCATAGGGCCCCTGAAGCGCACGAGAGGTGCACCTTTCGTCACCCTCCCCATGCGCCGCCCCCTCATTACGTGACGCCCGAAGGAGACGGGCACGGCACAAGCCGAGAGCAGAAGGGAGAGCGGTGATCGGCGGCGAGCCACGGCGGGAATGCAGAGGGGGCGGGCCTTCTCGGAAGGCTCGGAAGGCCGCTGGCCTTCCTCTTTCTCACTTTCCCCCTGGGCTCGCCGCCGAAGTGGGGGAGGGAGGTTGGGCCAGGACAGCCCCTCGGGGCAGAGGCTCGCGAGCCCGAAAGCGTTACCGGTGGGGGCGGGAACCATCAGAGGGCGAGAGGGAAAAAGGGGGGAGAGAGCACGCCCCCGGCCGGGAGCAGGAGGGAACGGAGTGGGAGAGGGAGGTCAGGCTGGGACAGCCCCGCGGGGAAGAGGCTCGCAAGCCCGAGAACGTTAGCGGCGGGGGCGGGGCCCATCAGAGGGGAGAGGGAGGAGGGGTGGCGAGGAGAACAACCGTCGTGTTGGAAGAATGGGGGCTGGGAGGATGAAGGGCAGGCACAATGACATTCGGATGTGATGCACGGTACCTTCGACCGTCTACGGGTTAGGACATCCTCGATTCTCCCAACCCCCTCCTCCGAACCCGAGATCTGTCTTCCTGAAGGGGGGAAACGAACGAGGAGGAGGAAGAAGACCTGATGTGATGCGGCTTTGCGGCGCCAAGGCCCCGATGGTGGGCCCAGCTTCCCAATGGCCCCCACCCGTGAGAGCACGGTGGGCGGGAGCGTCCATCGTGGCTGACACGTAGGGCCGGGGCAGCCATTGGGAGCGCCGCTGGCCTGGTCCACGTGCCGTATCCTGCCCATACGGTGCGGGCACCGGGTAAAGGAACCATTGCGTAAAGAACCCAGGGTCTGGAAGCCGGTGGAATTCCGATCGTGGAGGGGCCATGGATATCCCCACCGCTCTCGGTGGATAGGGATACCGTAGGGTCTGAAGCCACCTGGGCATACTCCTCAACGAATGTCCCCACCGTGGCGCCGGTAGCCTGATCCACCTACAGTGCCATGCCTAATGGTGCGACAGTACGGCCTGGTGCTGGTGCACACTGGGGCAAGGTGGTGACGGAGGACTGCCATTTGAATCCCTCCGTTAGGCTCCAGTCAGACCATAGAAAGCCTGAGGAGCTCTTTCCCGAGCTCTTTCGAGCCGCCACGTCGTGGCTCGCCCGCGCGGGCGCGCAATCGGCGCGCGCGCGCGGGTCAGCGCTGCCCCCAGCGCCGCTCGGCCGACCTCGGCCCCTCCTCTCAGGCGACTCCGCAGCCTTGTCCTTCTGCTGCGGGGCGGGGAGGACCACTTCTTCTGCCATCAGCTCCGTGTCGCGTGGCCCTGTGGTCCCGCCCTGCAGGCCGTTCTCCTCCGCCTCCGTCCAGCAGCCGATGAAGTTCGCCCAGCGCCAGGAGCGGGCCGACAGCCGCCGCTCTGGTCGGCCTGGCCTCGGGCGGCGGGCGAGCAGCTCTCCTCCTTTCTGCCTCCAGCAGCGCTCGCGAGGCCTCGCGTTGCGCTGCCTCCTCCTCGGCTGTGTCCTCTGCGGCTGCTGGGTGGGCTGGAGTCGGCGCTGGCGTCGGTGCTGGAGCGGCGGCGGCGGTCGCGTCCAGAAGCCTCCTCACTACTGGTTATTCATCTCTGCGTCGTTCGCTTTCTGGCCTTTCGGGTCTCCTCTCTGTCTCCGCCCTGCGCCTGGCCAGCTCGGCCCTCTCCCCAATATCCCGCCTCGCGGGGCCCCTGGCCACACCTGGGGCACTCAGAGGTGGGGGGGGGCCTGGCTCGCCTGCCTCAGCCTTTGCCTCTGCGCCAGCGATGTCGCCTCGGCGCCTCGCTCGCTGGCGGCGGGGTGGCTCTTCCTGTTTATTTCGCCAGGAAACACCACTTGTGCCCCCCGCCGCATCGGACTCCGTGTCTGGCTGCCGCTGGCTGCCTCCTGCTCCTCTGCCGCCGCGGCGCCTCGCGCTCTCGCTGCAGCCTCCTCCTTCTCCGCCCTGCGCCTGGCCAGCTCGGCCCTCCACCCATTATCCCGCCTTGCGGGGCCCCTGGCCACACCTGGGGCGATCAGAGGTGGGGGAAGGTCTGGCTCGCCTGCCTCAGCCTCTGCCTCTGCACTCGCAGCGTCGCCTCGGCACTTCACCCGCAAGCGACGGGGTGGCTCTTCCGGTTTATTTCGCCAGGAAACACCACTTGTGCCCCCCGCCGCGTCGACCTCCGTGCTCTGGCTGCTGCTGGCCTCCTCCAGCTCCTCCGCTTGGGGCTCCTCCTCGGTGCACTCCTCGGCGGGCATGTCGCAAGTGCCTTTCTCGCACGCCGCTTGCTTCAGCCAGCGCTGGGGCCTGTAGCGCCCGCTGTCGCACGCCGTGTGTCCGCAGCAGGGCTCCTGCAGCTTCTTGGCGATCAGCTCTGTGGTGGCTCCTCCGCAGTTCTCGCAGAACCATCGGTTGTGCCTCCAGAGCCGCCTCAGCTTGCGCGCGTGGTGCGACTCGACCCCGTACTTCGTGACCGTGAGTGCCGTCGGGGGCGGAGGTCCGCTGCAGGTCTGCGTCAGCCATCCGTGGATGTTCTTCGCCATGGTAGTGCTGCTGGCCGACTCCCAGCAGCAGAGGCATGTCCAACCTGTGCCCCGACGGTCCCGCTTCAGGACGTGCTGAGAAGCGGGCCTTCGCTGGTGGTTGTCGCCGAGCAGGTCCTTCTTCCTCAGCGTATTCTGCCTCATCCGCTTGGCATGGGCTCGTCGTGCCTCTCGCATATCCGCTTCCTCTGGCGGCCGTCTGGTGAGTGCGTCCTTCGTGGTGGCTGCGATCCTCTGCCTGACCAAGTGCGCCGTCGCCCTCACCCACTCGTAGCAGCTCATCTCGGTGTCGCTGATCGCGTGGGTCTTGGCGCCTGCCGCTGCGTACTCGTCTGCCGCCTTGTTGCCTGCCCATATTCGCCGTGCGATGCCTTTCTCTCTGGCCTCCAGCTCCGTCATGTGGCTGTTGAGGTGGTGCACGCTGATGCCGCTGCGGTCGCCACCTCTCTTGCGTATCGCCTCAGCGAGCTGGTGCCACAGGTCGCCGTTGATGCAGCCGAGCCCCTTGGTCTCCTCGCGCCTTGCAGCCCAGCCTGTGCACGTGACCTCGCTGTCCGTCCAGAAGCTGACCTTGCCCTCTGTCGAGTTGACGAAGCTGATCAGGCTGAAGAGCTCCGCTCTATTGTTGGTCTGCCTTGGCCCTGGCAGCGGACCGAAACGGGCGCCCGCTATCCCGTCGGTGTCTTCACCTTCGTGCAGTAGCACCCAGCCCCAGCCGCATCTGCAATACCTCTCATCCGCGCTGTACTCGCCTCCTGAGCCGTCGCCGCAGCCTGCGAGCTCGCCTCCCTCACTTGCGCACAGCCTGTCTGGGGTGATGCAGGCGCCTGTGGTGTGCTCGATGTGCTCGGTGTCGCACCTCGGGGGCGTGGACCACTCTTCGGCGCGATGCCCCTCGGCCGGAACGCGGGGTTCTCCTTGGCTCCGACGCGCGCCCTTCTCGCCAGGCCCTCGGTCTTGCGGATGGCCTCGCAATCTTCCCTGGCGGTGCAGTCGCCCCAGATCCTGTGCTCGTCGTCCTCGGGCCTCCCGCATTCGCACATGGCCTCCTCGCCGCCGAAGGTCTCGTGTTTCCGTCTTCGCGTCCAGGTACCTGCGCACGCCGCTGTGAGGAGCGCGCCGTAGGTGCCGTGGTGTTCTTTCTTCGCGAGCTGCCCGAGGTGCTTCTTGAGGTCCGTCACGTCTGCGCCGCGCTGTAGCCCTCCTCCGTTGTGGTGCTGTGCGGCTCTCTCCCACAACTGGTCCTGGATGTCCTGCAGGAACGCGTCTACTATCTCCGAGTAGTCGCCGCCCTGGTCCTCGGTGCTGAACTTCCCATAGTCGCCGTTTCTGTCGATCCAGATGTCTGGCCCTCTGGAGTCCCAGCCCACTTCCCACAGCAGGAGGATGAGGCTTGCGAGCGGTCCTTTTCGAGCTTGCCACCTCTTCTCAGCTTCAGCAGCTGGAAGTTGACCTGGTCCCTGGTGTCGGGGCTCCTGGCCCAGACCTCGAACCAAGTCTTCAGCTGCGCCTTCACCGACGCGATCGCGGGGTCTGCTCCCTCCAGCGCCAAGAACGCGGTGATGCACCTGCCTGGCCACGGGCGCCTAAGCGCCTGCGCATGCCTGCACCGCGCCTTCTGACTCGCCCAAGGGGCCATGCCGTGCACCGTCGTGCCGTACATGTAGGATGCGACTGCGCCTTGGTGAAGTACGCATCTCCTCCTCCTCAGCTGCAGCCTCCTCATCTTCAGGCCCACTGCGCCACAGCGTGTGAACGCTCTCTGCGTCCGCTGCCTGTGTGTGGCCCTCCTCAGCGTGCCCTTCGCGCCTCTATCGACGCCTAGGTCCCTGCCCTCCGTGACGGCCTGGACCGAGATGTTCTTCGCTCGCAGCGCCTTCTGGACCCTCTTGGTGGTGCGGAAGATGGAGCTGAAGATGACCGCATTGTCCGCAAGCGAGAGCCCCTGGCCTTGGAGTCCGTCTCGGAGCCCCCCTGCGACTGCCGTTAGCTCTTTCTCGACTGCCTCTGCGCTGCCCATGCTGCGGATGCTGATGTCGTCGAACCAGGCCTTCGGCATCGGCTTGGGCAGCGCCTGCGAGGCCTCTAGCAACCTCCCGGGGATGGAGTAGACCACCGTCTTGGCCAGGTTGATCGAGTGCCTCGATCTTGCCAGCAACGATCTGTCTGCCCAGGTCGGAGTCGAGTATGCTCCTTTCCAGCGTATCACTCTTGTTGCCGAGTGCTGCAGCAGCATCATCACCAGCAGGCGGGGGCGGAAGTCCATCCGCAGGCCTGCCTCGATGGCGCAATCGAGCTGGAGGCTGTCGTAGAACTTCTCGATGTCCGCGAGCAGGTTGCCGTGGGCGAGCTTCAGCGCGTCGCAGCACTCGTCGCATATCACTCTGCGCATTGCCTCGCGCAGGCAGCTGTTGCCTGCAACTGCAGCGTCCCATTCCCGCTTCTGCTGCTTGGCCCATCGCCTCACCGCAGGCCTGCGCAGCAGCTCCCAGCAGCGCACCATCTGCGGGAGCAAGGCTAGGGCCCTGTCGCCCTTTGCGGGCTTGGGGGCCAGCATCGCGATCTCGCGCAGCAGCTGCCACGGCCATGCGAGCGCGTGCTCGCATGCGTTGAAGAGCTCGACGATCCTCTGGCGGCCCTCTGGCGGCAGCCTGCGGATGCCCGATCACACAAGCATGTCGATGCCCTTGCCCTTGTCTGGCTCGCCCCTGAGCGCCTCGTCCAAGTCCTCGAGTGACCACTCAGCGGCCTGCTCGGCCTTGGCGCGCTCACGTAGCCGCTGGAGGATCTCTGTGTGCTGCTCGTGCTTCATCCTGTCGCACTTCCAGATGTTGTGGAACGACTTGGCTTTCTCGTCCACTATCTTGGTGGGGCAGTCGGGCACCCCGTCATCGGTGACAACCTCCTCCTCTCTCCTCGGCGACGGCTTTGTTATTCGGTGAAGGACTCCAAGGTCTTTCTCCGCAAGCGCAAGCCACTGTCCGAAGGCCCTCGAGTTCTCCTTGAGGTCCCTCTTGGTTGCATTACTCTTTTCGTCCTCTGCCTGCATTGCCATGCCCTGGATCACGTCGGTGTCGACTTACTTCACTCAAGTCCGCCAATCGTGTCCTCCAGATATCTCTGTGTAGCTTGGCCGTGTCCGATGCCTTCTCGCTCGTGTTCGGGAGGCCGTCGTATGCGAGGTGCTTGCCCGTGGCCTCCAGGTGGAGCTGCTGCCGCACGTCCTTGTTGCGCCGCCGCAGCCTCGCCAGCAGCGACAGGGTGTTCTCGGCTCTGCTCCACCTGTCGGCTCTGCGGTTGGCGCACCTCTCTCTTGTCTCATGCTTTTCTTTACCCATGCACGTGGGGAATATCCTCGTGGGTCGATGTGGTAGGCCATGCAGTAGAAGTGCTCCATCGTGTTCATGGTGGCTGCGAAGCTTTGGCTGAGGTCGATGGCAGAGTCAGCGGTCGCCTTGAAAGCGGCGCACTTGGCGATGTATTCAGGTACATCTGCCTCAAGTGGTGTCTCCGCTGCCATCTCCATCATAGTCCAGAGGTCTCCCATGGCTGTCGTGCCCTGGCACTGCTTGTCTTCGTGCCCTGGTGACGACGAGCCCACCGACGGCTCTGGCGTAGCGGGATTTGCGCTCTGACGCCTGTCGGTGCTGCCTGTGCTGAGTGGCGACGACCTGCCCACCGTCGGCTCGAGGAGCACCGAGGTGGGACTTGCGATCTGACGCCTGCTTGGGCTGGGGTCGCGTACACCAGTGTTAGCAAAGCTTCCAGGCGACGTTGAACCCGCAGACGGCTCGAGGTGCACCGTTGTGGGTTTGCGTTCTGACGCCCCTGCTGCGTGTACTTTAGCTCCAAGTCCTGACCGTTCTCGTCGCACATCCTGATCGCTTCGGCCTCGGCCTCAGAGTCCAGGTTGGCGAACACGTCGGCCTCGTCGTCGCCCATCCGGTGTCTACATGTGCTGTGCGGCGAAGACCTGCCCACCGACGGCTCGAGGAGCGCCGAGGCGGGGCTTGCGATCTGACGCCGGTTTGGGCTGGGGCCCCTGTCGCCAGTATTCGCAAAGCTTCCCGGCGAAGTTGAACCCACAGACGGCTCGAGGAGCACCGTTGTGGGATTTGCGTTCTGACGCCCCTGCCGCGTGTAGTTTAGCACCAGGTCCTGGACGTGCTCGTCGCACATCCTGATCGCCTCGGCCTCATCCTCATGGTCCAGGTCGGCGAACACGTCGACCTCGTCGTCATCCATCTGGTGTCTGTACTCGCCGAACACGCGGGCCTCTGGGCCGTCTCTTCCAAGTCCCCCGTGCCCGCCCAGAGGATCCAGGCCGACGGTGCAGGGGGGGCAGGGTTGAGACGGGGGCCTGGGCGCGTCGCCCTGGCCGACCTCCACGGTCTCGGTGGACGGGAAGCTGGTCCAGCCTGCCACTGGTGTGAGCGCCTCCCAGCGCTCGTCGCCCAGGAGCTCGGTGTTCTGGCCTCTGCCTTCCACGATCTGCTTTCCTGCAGCGCTTGCCTTGGCCTCCTCAATGGCCTTGGCCTGCAGTCTCCTCTTCGTCCTCTTGCTTGTTGGGTTGGGCGCCTTGCCCTTCCTCGGTGGGCGCGGGAACGCCTTCGGCAGGTTTAGCGTTCTGCACTGGGTCTGTAGTCCTTGCCCTCGGATGGTGAACTTCAGCCCGATGTGTGGCTTCCACGGTGCGTCGTAGACGCCCTCGACTCCTGCGATCAGCTTGCTGCCTGCCTCGTTCGCCATCGCGAAGTCGATGTGGGAGGGCTCCTGCTCTGCGAGGAAGCAGGTGCGCTGGTCTTCTGGCAATGAGATGATTGCACTCGCTCCCATCGCCTTCGGCCAGCCCACCTCCCAGAATGTCTTCGGGTCGGTGTTGAAGTCGCCGCAGACCACCCACGCCCCTTGCAGCGTCTTGATGAACGCGGCCAAGGCCGTGAGCTTGCGGCTGTTGATGCCATCCACCAACGACTCGTTGCAGTCCAGGTAGAGGCTGATGACTGTGAGCGTCGCCCCCCTTCAGGTGCCAAGTGACTGGG